TTCTAGACCAAATGGTAAAAAAAATTATCACTTAAATGAATAATTTCCAAAAAAATGAAGTCAAACGGATACCAAATTTTCAACATTTTTTAGGTGAAAAATTATATCAATCAAATACAATTAATTACAATTTCCAGTAAAACAAATTCTAGGTAATTCAATTCTCTTTAATTGATTTTATTTCCACCAAAATTCAACATTTGCAATCAAACGAACCCTTAATTAATATTAATTCGAATTTCAAATTTATGTTCACATTTACGTTCATGTCCCTGTTATTAATTTTCAATTAATTAACATTCATTTAATAAATATTAATTAATACTCACATTCAAATATATATGCATTTCACTATGTACGTGCATGTATAATAATTAACATTTATTTTCAGAGGTTTGCATTTTTCTTAGGGTTCGTTTGATTACGAGTATGAAATTTCCATGTAAAGAAAATAAATTATAGATAATTCAATTGTTTAGAACTTATTTGTATGGAAATTATTAATTAAATGTGTTTGATTGATTTAGTTTTCAATCTAAAAAATATTATACTTGCCCATTTTTTATTGGTGGATAGATGATAGATAGTAGATAGATAAGACTTAAGAGAGAGAAATATAGAATGAATTCCCTGGAAAATAAAATACAATCCCCCTAAAGAAATTGCTTTCCTTGATTTTGAGGAAAATATGATCACGAGACAAAAAGTATGAAAATATTTTTCATGAAAAAAATGTCAATCAAATAGCACAAAAATATAAATTTGGATTAAAAAAACACAATTTTCATAACAAATATTGGCAATCAAACATACCCTTATTTAAATTAAAAGGGTAAATAAAAGTTCAAATATTACTATCACAGTATTATAAAGTATTTTATAATATCATGTAGTGCACGTTTAATTATGACTGGTCTTAGTAAATGAGTCACTACATTAGCTTTTTAGTAGGCAAAATGTTACAGGTGCTAACATCGTGACAAGAAAACAATTATCACTTGATAAACGATTTCTTATGTTGCCACTCCAACTTCAATAGTTCAAGCGCATTAACAATCTCGTAAACCAACGTTGCTCGGTCTTACTTTGTTGGCTTTTACCATCTCCAAATCTAATTATTAGTGCTCGAGTTCTTCGATTGTCGTAACCCATAAATATCTTTCTATACATAGTGACGAGTTAAAGCTAAAACGTTTTAATATTATTAGAAATGATATTTGGTCCAACTCAACCTAATAAAATCGATTTGTTAGGGGGGGATTACCATTACTTTATTAAGTGGATCGTATAAACATCACCAGCCAATATGAGATTCTAATATTCTCCCTCACGCACAACGTGAATTATGCCAAACAATTGTGAACAAATCGATATTAGGTGCACCCAACATTACAAAATTGAGTCTACTCTGATACCATATTAGAAAAGATATTGAGTCTAACTCAACCTAACAAAATCGGCTTGTTAGGAGATGAATGGTCTCACCTTATTAAGTGGATCGTATAAATATCACAAATCAATGTGGGACTCTAATAGTAATCAGTTGGGAATACATTTTTTTTTGTCTTTAAATACTAATTTTCAAAGTCAAATATTAATTTTAATTACACATTTCGTAGAATCCATAAATACTATTCATTAACCAACTACCAGTTTTTTCGAAAGTGGAATTTTAGCGATGAAAAATGAAACCCAAACATGGGCTAAATTTATTAGAGACACAACACGTTTTCACATAACTCACCATAGGTGGAACAAGGAAAAAATTATTGGACACAAGCAAATGGCATATTTTCTTTGAAATTACATTCACACGCTTTCTTGATCGCCAATAATGGTTTGACCAACTAACAACAAAAAAGATAACAGAAAAAAGATCCTTAATTACCTACTAAGTATCCCAATATTCCATTCTCATCAACTAAAGTTTCAATGAGTGACTTTATTTTTAAAAATATCCACTGTCTGCCATTAACATATGAAGACAAACAAGAAAGTCATATTCATCAAATAGTTGATCAAGAATCATGGAAAAATCCGATGCAATCAAATGATGTGCTAACTACTGTAGTCGCTAAAAAATTCGACATGGATAATCAACTTTAACTGATGTAAATGCCGAAAGTGAAGGCAAAAACCAAAGCTCGTTGGTTTCTTACTAGGATCCGATAGTTGATCAAGTCACGCACCTAGAAAAATCGAAAAATAAGGGTTGTGGAGGGCTTATCTGGGACATGTCAGCAATAATTTACTTAAGTGAGAGTCCTATCCACATTGAGAAAAGGCCTGAGTACAGGCCTCTTCTTACCGAAGCCTTACAGGGCCTCTCACATGTGGGGCAACCCCACATGTGATTAAAAAAACAAAAATTATGCCCGGCCACACCTGCTGTGTGTGGTCGGGCAATGACCTGTGATTGGAGTCCCTGTACTCCAATCACGGCCCATCCACATTATAATTGGAGGTCACTCTTAAGGAATAAGATTTATGTAAATTAATGGCGTATTCAGTCGTGCTTAAAATCTAATTAAAATTGAAAATATAATCGTTATTAAATCCCACTCGTCTAATAAAATTCAACAATAACGGTTAATTTTTCAATTTTATTCTCTACTGAACACGCTCTAAATTACAACCATCAGCCTACGCATGACTCCACTAAGAACGTTCACATTGGTACTAAACATGCAAGTGTTAAAGTGTTAAAGACAACTTCAGAAAAGTGGTTAACGTAGGATGTAATGAACAAAAACAAGACTTGAGAATGAAAGAGGAAGAGACGAAGAGAGAATCAAAATGGAGAAAATATGATTTTATTTAATAATCAAGTATAACTATTACAATGTAAACTCTTTTTATATAGGATTTAAATCAAGATAATTTAAGTAGGAAACAACTAATAAAATACTAGAAAATATATAAAACTAAACCCTAATTGTGTTTCCTAAAATAAATATTTAGTAGGTGCTTGGCAGAGATTAAAATTAGATTTTTAGTAGATTGTGATAGAAGTTTTTGAAATATGTGGTTGAAAATCTGTAGGACTCATGA